TCTTATGTGGGGTCATCAAAGTGTAAACTGAATAACAGTCTCAAGTATAGTTTACTAATCAAAGTGAAGATTCAGGCTAGAATCCTTTGAGAACTGTTCCCTACTGGCCATGAAGTGTTACAGATAAATACCATTTTCTTCCTTTCCTTCAGTTCATAACTACACTTGTCCCAATTCAGGATATGTCCAAGGGGACTTTCAGCTGCTCTGGTGTTACCCATTCTACTAGAAAGATAAAATCAAGCCACAACCTGTAAAAGTACACTAACCTGTGTGGTCTGAGGGTAAACAAAACAGGTCAGTTAGGACAGTCTAAAGGCTCCTTATCTGGAACCCATGCACTGTGGGCAGCCAACAAACACAGATAATTCCTTAACAGATGATAGATAGTCTCTTACAACCACCCCAGAAGAGGCAATGACCACGACCATCAATACTCCAGATACTTATCTGTCTGGACATTTTTGCATGCTCCAGCCAGCATTTCCTGAGTTACTTTATGAAAATTGAAAGATGCAGTCATAACCAAGGATAGTTGCTCAGGAGACACAGTTCTAGTCCCCTAGTAAAAGAGCTCTGGCAGCTGCTGGGATTGGCTGGTGGTCCTTCCCAGTGCCAAAGGGTCATCCTCAAAGCCAGAATGAAAAGGGATCCTAGATAAGGCCTCAAAGTTTGTTAACAACCTAACCAGATCATGTCACCCATGCTCAGAAAGCCAGACTAGACCACAAGATTGTTTATGGTAGTTAGTATTTCAAAGAAATGTCTCCAACATATTATCCATGGATTTGTCTTTTAGCCCAGAGCTGTAGAGGGTAGGATCTGCTGATATTCACATCTATCAAATTCTCCCACAATATGTTTGCCCTAAGAAGCTGGGAAGATGGGGAACTACCAAGTTTATTGGCTCTCCCATAACACAGATGCATGCCAGAAACGGGAACTACACGTTTCACCAACTGTCCTGCCTATTATGTACATGTGGAGTATGGGGAAATGGCTGCTGCTCTGCTGCCACCACCCAATTGACACACAGTGTCAACAGCATGGAGTTATTTTCTCCCAAATTTCCCAGAAGAACTATTCTACTCCAGGTTGCGGAAGGATATTGAACTCTGACGATCAGCTCCAGGTGTGCTAAGACAGCTCTTCCACAGGGCAGAGTGGTGGAAATATGGGTATAGTGTTCACATCTACTTTTCATATATTTTGTTGACTAAATATTTTCTTTCAAGACCTCATCTGTTTTTTTTTTTCAAGAAGCAGAAAAAAGACCGTTTTTGCTTTTAAACATGCTTGTTTATTTTTTTAATAATTCAGGATTTCTCCCTTAAGGTGTGGACCTAAATGCTTTTTAATCTGTTGGAAATCCTTTAGTCAGTCTCTGGAGCATTTGAATGATTGTCCTTACTAATATTGTTAAGTTTAAAAGTTGTGTCTCCAGGAAGGAGGTCTTCATTCCCAGGACCTTACTTCCATTCTGGAAGGGCTTTCACTGTCTTGATGGTATCTTGGACACAAAAGTTTTCATTTTAATTAAGTTAAATTTATCAGTTTTTAAGTTCTCTCACTTTTTTTTTTTTTTTTTGCATCTTACCACAAGGATTTAGTCCTGTGCTTTCTTCTATCTTTCTAAAAGTCTCTCCTCTTAAAATTAGGTCTTTGATTCATGCTGAGCTAATTTGTGTGTGTGGTGTGAGGTTGGGGACCAAGTTCATCATTCTTCTTTCAGAGGGTCAGTTTTTCCCAGCAACATTTATTGTAAATACTGTTACTTGAGTTTTTGCATTCATGAGCATGGATTATCTTTCCATTTGCTTGCCTCTTCTTCGATTTAAGTGTTTTTTTTTAGTTTTTGGTTTATAAATCTCATACTTCTGGTAAATTTATTCTTAAATATTTTGTTCTTAATTCTATTGTAAATGGAATCAATCTGTTATTTTCACTGATAGTAAACACAATTGATTTGTATATGTTTATCTTAGTATTACTTTTCTATCTAGTGTACCAAATTTCAACAAACTTAATGACTTAAAGTAACACTCATTACTTCACAGTCAGAAGTCTGAGCACAGTATGGTGCATTTTGGTTCTCTTATTAGGATCACATAAAACCAGAATTAAGGTACTGGCAGGGCTACATTCCTTTCTGGACATCCTCAATTTATTCAGAAATCATTTCCTTCTTACACTTTCTAAGGTGGCCTTTTACATCTTAAAACCAGCAATGGTGATTGTACTCCTTCTTGTGCATCAAGCATCTCTGATTATCCTTCTGTCTAGCCAGAGAAAGCTCTCTGCTTCTAAGGACTTGTGATTACATTGGGTCCACCAAAATAATCCAGGATAATCTCCCTTATTGTAAAGGCCATATGTTTGGTAAACTTTGGTTCCATCTGCAACATGCCTTTTGCAATGTGATGTAACATATCCACAGGTATAACACCAGAGGAAGAAAATGTAGAGCTACTACAGTTCTGCCTACTACAATCAGGTTTCCCATAAGCTTCCTGAATTTTATTAATTCTAATAGTGGTTTTGTTTTGTTTTGTTTTTTTTTTAGTCGATTCCTCAGGGTTTTCTCTACATAAGATCATGTTCTCTGAAAATGAAAACAAATTCACTTTTTCTTTTCTAAGCTATATGTCTTTTATTTCTTTATTTTTGTCTAATTGCAGTAGCTGTAACTTCTAGAACAGTGCTGATTAAAGTAATGAGAGGAGACATCCTTGCCTTATTACTAATCCTAGGACAAAACATTTTTCCTTTCTCCATTAAGTATAATGTTAGCTGTAGGTTTTTCATAGATGACTTTTACCAGGTTGAGAAAATTTCTTTTCAATCCTAATTATTTTTTTTTAATTTTTATCATTAATGAATATTGAATTTTATTCATTGCTGATTCTAAATCTATTAAGATGATCATACAGTTGCTGCCCCTTATCCTATTAATATATTGCACTAATTTATTTTTGTGTTCTGCAATCAATCCCACTTGGTTTGATCTGTAATCTTTTTCTTATATTGCTAGATTCAATTTGTTAGTATCTTTTTTGAGGATTTTGTTTTTATATTCATAGTATTGTTTCTTCAAATGTTTGGCAGAGTTCATTATTGAAGCTCTCTGAATCTAGGTTTTACTTTGAAGAAATATTTTTAATTACTAATTCACTCTCTTTGTTATCCATCTGATTCTGTTTAAAGAGAGTCCTGATTCTGTTTAAAGAGAGTCTATCAGTACGGGGGAAACAAACCAGGGCAAGGGCAGGAAGAACATAAGGGACTGTAGTTGATGATGCATGGATGAATTGGTGATGGAAATTCTATGGGATCTGCGCCTTAAAAAAGAAAGTAAACATTGTAAAAATAAATATTTAATATAAATAAATAAAGAGCATCTGTCAAGTACAATTACCAGGGTATGTGCTGGCAAGCACTGTGGCTGATCTGACCCACTATACATGAACTCATGAAGTCAGCTAACACTGATTGTTAGCGTACATATTGAACCTGTAGAACTCCTGTGTTGGTGCTTTGGGAATCACAGTAAATACAGCCTGGTTTGCAAATCATTTACTTTTAGGGAGTAGTTTAATATTTAACAATGTCTACTAACTTTTTTGTTGGAAACCTTATAAAACTCTCCCAGCAAGAGTCAAAAATGGCTGCTGGTTAATTAAAAAGGTTTTGCTAATATATATTATTCTTCAAAGTACAAGTTTTCCTGTTTTAAATGTGTTCTCTTTAGTGGAAATTTTCATTTGAAATTCTTACATATGTTGGCTTGCTTTAGTCAATGTATAGACCTTGGCTGAGTATTATATACAAAGATAAAGGATAGGAAAACTTTCTATGAAGAATCAGATTAGCAGGGCCCTCCCTGGTGGTGCAGCGGGTTAAAGCACAGCACTAAGAAGCTAAAGCCACTTCCGCATGAGTTCCATTTCCGCCTGCCCCAGAGGAGATCCACATGGCGAGGCAGACTTCTCCTGGCCTGCCCGCTGCTCCCCTCAGCAGTGTATTTCGTTGATCTGCCTGTTCTGCTCCCCGCTCTGTCTCTGGTGAATCCTCTCACCCTCTGCATCTCTGGCCTGTAGCCCAGTTCTGTATGAATAAATAAATAAATCTTTTAAAAAAAGAATAAGATTAGCTTGGCATATTAAATGTATATTGAAAAAGTAACCCTTTGAGAGGATACTCAAAAATCTCAATTTGGAGACTTTTGTAAATGCACTACTGGCGGTGTTGGTAATGCTTTTACAAAGCCCAGTGAATGGACACACAAGGGAGAATAATTTGTGCATATTTCATTTTGAAAACCATATATTAAATCCCTGTATGGGGCCCTCCCTGGTGGCACAACGGGCTAAAGCACAGCACTGTGAAGCATTCAACAGCCATTGCAGCACAAGTTTGATTCCCAGCAGCCAGGGAGATGACCCACTTAGCGCCTGCTGCTCCCCTCAGCAGTGTATTTCAGTCCATCTGCCTGTCTACTCCCCACTCTGTCTCTGGTGCATCCTCTCACCTCTCCCCACCCTTACACACACACACACACACACACACACACACACCTCTGGCCTCTACCCCAGTTCTGCTGCTCCCCTCAGCAGTGTATTTCAGTCCATCTGCCTGTCTACTCCCCACTCTGTCTCTGGTGCATCCTCTCACCTCTCCCCACCCTTCCACACACACACACACACACACACACACACCTCTGGCCTCTACCCCAGTTCTTGTGCATAATAAGTAAATCTATTTAAAAAATAATAAATCCCTGTATGCTTGCATGTGTGTGGGGGAGGGGGGAGGAGTGGGGAGAGGGGAAATTTATAACATTATAATGTCACAAATATTACCCTTCTTTTGGCAGCTTCAGTTACATTTTTCTGATTTTAATAGAAAGGAGGAGAAATAGTAGGATCTCACAAAGAAACAAAAAAATGTGGATAGACATAGATTACAAAATTCTCTAACAAATACTTGATTCTTTATCCTAGACCAGAAGATCAATTCAGAAGTTGTTAGAATGGGAAAATAACAGATTATATCACAAGGTAAGAATGTCTAAGCAGATAAGTATCCATGCATATATTTGTATTATTAAATTTAAAACGTGAGAATTTTTTATACCACAAAAGAATGCATTAGAAAACTTATACTCTATTTTAAATGTGTATTTCCTATAGGTTATTTTAAATGCTGTGTTTTGTATATGGTTCTTGCTCCTGTATTTCTCTCTGATTCATTCAAATGTATAGGTAATAATTATTATAAATATTATGAATCAATATCAAATTATTAACAAACTATCCTTTTTTAGCTTGCTTTGCACTGGAAGTTGACTAAAAGGAAATGCGAAACTAGCAATATGATGGAGTATGTAAGTATGTGGTTGCTTTTAATTACATTTTTTGATTCCATGCTAAATGTGACATTTCACTATATTTAGCATTTGTCCAATCCTCTTTTTTACCTTTCTTTCTACCTTCTTTAGATTAGTAGCCAATATGAAATATCTGGAAAGCTAGCATTATTAGATCTTAGAAAAGTTGCAACTAGTGTGCCCTGATGAAAGCATTACACAGCCTTGACCTGCTTTTAAAATAGCAGCAAACTACTACATGCTGGACACAGCTGCTGGTGAACAAAGGATTTCTGCATATAATTCTTATAAAAATGTGCATGAAATATGCTTAGTGAAATAAGCCAGACAGAAAAGGAAAAATGCCGGATGGTTTCACTCATAGCAGGAGTATAACGGACCAGGCGAGAAAATAATAAGAATAATGAACATCTATATACCGGAGACATTTTATGGGGGTGGAGTGGGGAATGGGATCAAGAACAGTG